AGGGGTGGACAAATATAGCCAGAAATGGACATGTGGATGGATATGCTCATTCATGGATGGATGGACAGACAGATACACACATCACCAGGTGGACATACATGCTCAGCAATGGATGAATATAGGGAATGTGGGGAATGGACACAGCCATGGAGAAAGGGACTTGCGTGGGCAGCAGATGGATGGACAGATGGATGACTGGGGCAAGAGGCAGGGGAGAAGAAATGCATTAGTAGGTTACACTCAGAGGCCAAGTGATCACAGAGGAGACCCACCACCTTTGAGGCAGCCTCATGGCCCCGTGTCACTGCAGGGGTGAGGGCCATTCCCAGGGACCAAGGGAGCAGGATAAACCAACCCAGAGAGGAGGCATGAGGAAACAGGCCCCTTCTCCCCAGCTGGGAGGCTCTGGCTCTGAGTCAGGACTGAGTGGCCCCTTCCCCATGCTTCCCGCCTGTCATTCCGTTTATGCTGCAGGGACATTTTCCGAATGGCCCTGATACATACAGACAGATGGACAGACAGACACGAGTGGTACACACAGATGGGAATGGACAGGAGATGGGGAAGGGAGCCATGGGGGCATGGGAGCATGCTCCCTGCCCCAGATCTCAGATCGTGCCCATGCCATAGCCCCATCAGGGGACTGAGAGGCTGGGGAGGCACCTGGCACCGATCTGGATCCTTCCCTCTGGCTCTACCTGCTGATAGCTGTTGCCATGTTTCCGCGGGGCTCCAGTGCCGGCGTAGGCCCTGCCCCCATTCTGGGTCTTGGCCCCGCTCTGGGATTTCCCCACAGCATTTTTCATGGCTGGGTGTTTGGCCCCTGCCGCCATCTTGGCCTTGCCGGGGGGCTTGGTGGTGCTGGGGGACTTCCCATTGCCAGGGTATTTCCCGTTGCCAGGGGACTTCCCGTTGCTGGGGTATTTGCCGTTGCCTGTGTACTTCCCGTTGCCGGGGGATTTGCCGTAGGCCGGCGCGGTGCTCATAAGCTGCTGCTGTTTCTGCGGCTTGGCCTTGGCAGGCGCTTTGTGGCCTGGCCCCGCAGGTTTCTGGCACCACGGCACCGGTGAAAGGAGGAGGAAGAGGAGGAGGAAGGGCAGTGATGAGGATGGAGAGGGTGATGATTGGAGTGGCAGCAACGCACGCATGCACACACGGTGCCCGGTATCCAGATACAAAGAGAAAACACAACACATGTGGCGTGAGTGCCAGGAGAGCATGAGCAGGAAAGTGGGGGGCCCCAATCCACGTGGGTCACACCCCCAAGTGGCCAAGGATCACCCCACAACTCCCAATGGCCCTGCCAGGCCCCAGCCCTGCCCTGGTACCTTCCACGCTCCTGCTATTGGGTGCAACATGGTGGTGATGGCTGGAGGAATGAATGAATGGAGGGATAGAGGGATGCAGGCATGCATTGGGATGGATGGATAGATGGATGGATGGATGGATGGATGGATGAACTGAGTTGGATGGATGGATGGATTCATGCATGCATGCATGCATGCATTAGGCTGGCTGGCTGGCTGGCTGGATGCACTGGGTTGGGTGGATGTATGCATGCATGCATTAGGTTCAATGGATGGATGGATGCATGTATGCATGCATTGGGTTGGGTGGATGTATGCTTGTATGTATTAGGATGGATGGATGGATGGATGGATGGATGGATGGAAATGACAGACAGATGACATTGCCATGCGAGCACAAGACTCAGACAAGACGGGGTGCCAGGACAAACGGACGGATGGATGGACGGACAAACGGATGGACACCAGGTGGGGGGGGGGCAGCACCCCCATTACCTGCTCAACAGCACCCCCCGTTGGCATCTCAGGGGCCAGGGCGCCCTCCTCTTTATTCTCGTAATAGTAGGGGTACTCGTAATACTCCACATCCTCATCAAAGTACTGGGTGCAGCGGGGGTGGGGGACAGAGGGAGGGAGGGAGCAGGAAAAAGGAGGAGAGCAAAACAATAGCAACAAAAGCCCTCTAATGGGCTGGGGGGCCCCACAAGAGCCTGTCCAGAACCCCCTCTGTGCACCCTGGGACCCTAGCCCCCCACCCAGGATGGAGAGGACAAGTTAGGGAAGGAGGAGGAATTGGGGAGGAGAGCAGAGCTTCCAAGCAAGGGTCACTGGGTTCATCTCCCCTCCAGGGTCAGAGGTGGGGGGCAGAGAAGTGAGAGGCCCCAGAAAGGAGGAAAAGGGGTGGGGAAGGAGGTTAAGGGTCCCCAGAGGAGCTTGGGATGGGAAGGATCCCCAGGGACAGGGAGCTGGGCGTCCTAGGCCCCCCTGAGATGAACCCAGGGGCATTTGAAGGCTCAGGTTTTTTTCCCCTCCTTTTGCAACAGATGCAAAATTCAGGGGGGAAAAACAAGCCTGGGAGGGTAGGATGCTCACCCAGAGCATGCTGGGCTGGAAACAGAGCCCCCCACTGGCGTGGGACGGGTCCAAACCCCGGCATCTAGGTGAGTTGCCTGCAGCGGGTTGTACTTTGATGTTTTTGCTATTGCCACACCCACCCCCCTCCCCGCAGTCAGCCCCAACCTCCCCCACCCAGCCCAGGGGGTCACTCACCTCAGGCTTGTCAGGGCGGCGCTGAGGCTCCTGGGCCTGGGGGGTGTCAGGACTGGGGGCACCACAGTCAGGGCTATAGCGTTCACAATAGTCATAGGCATCACGTGGGTTTGAGGAGATGAGCAGCTGCTGGATGTCACCCTGTGTTTGGGGGGGGGGGAAGGGGGTTAGGGGCAGCAGCGCCTCCGGGTCCCAGCCTGAAACCACCCCCCACCCCCCAGAGGGAGGGAGGAGGGCAATGAGCAAAGAGGCGGGTACAAGCTGGAGGGATGGAGATGGGTGTGTGAGGACAGGGAGAGGGATGGAGGGATGGAGAGTTGCCCACGTCAGGGGATGGGTGGACAGACAGATGGAGAGATGTCCATGGGGGTGGATGGATGAATGGATGGACAGGCAGATGGATATGCACATTGATGGATGGATGGATGGATGGAAGGGCAGACAGGTGGATGGATGGGTAGGTGGGTAGAATGTATAGGGATGAATAGGTGGATGGGTGGGTAGAATAAAGGGTGGAGTGTATGGGGTTGAATGGATGGATGCATGAGTGAGTGAGTGAGCAAGCGAGTAAGCAAGCGAGCAAGCAGATAGGGGAAGGGATGCATGTGCTTCAGGGTAGACAGACACACAGATATGTAGGTAGGTAGGTAGATTGATAGAAGCATGTGCTTAGGGATAAACAGACAAGCAGCCAGGCAAGCAGGCAGGCAGATGGGATGGATGGATGGGTGGCTGGGTAGATATAGATAGATATAAGCATATAGGCATATCCCACATGCATAGATAGATAGATAGATAGATAGATAGATAGATAGATAGATGCATGTGCTTTGGGGTGGATGGGTGGAGGCATGTGCAGACAGGGGTGGAGACACGGATGGACAGACAGTCAGACACACAGGTAGGTCAAACCACGTGCTTGGGGAAAGAAAGAAAGAATGAACGAAAGAACGAACGAAAGAAAGAACGAACCACATGCACAGGGACAGAGGGATGGATGGGCAGCTGGACAACTGGATGGATAGACAGATGGGGACCCCCTTCATTTGGTACCCCCAAATCACAGCCTCTGGCTGCTTCAACCCCTCCGCCCACTCCTTCCCCAGAGTGGAAGACACGGGCAGGGCAGTGGCAGTACCTGGAAGACCTCATCATCGAGGATGCGGGTGCCAAAGACGGTGATGCCGTGCGTGTCGATGATGGGCCGGAGACCACGGGGCAGTGGCCGTGTCACCTTCTTCTTGCAGTCTAGGAGGAGCGTCACCGACTGCTTGCTCACACTTAGTGCCACCCGGTGCCACCTGCAGACAGAAAAATACACGCATGGACGTGCCAGTGGGGCAGAGTTGGGACAGACGGATACAGATTGGGGAGGCCGAGGAGAGGTCAAATTTGACCCGTAATGCTAGGGAGCTGGGAGCACTGGTGAGAGCAGGGGCAGTGCTGCAGGGTTCAGGGGTCAGAGAGCAGGTATGATGGTGATGCCCTGGAGGCAGCAGCTGTACTGTGGGGTAGGGCAAAGTAGACAACAGGGTCAGAGGTTGGGGTTAAGAGGACAGGTATGACGATGCCCTGGAAGCAGGGGGGCATGTTACAGAGTAGGTCAGGGGTCAGACTTGATGCTAATGCCCTGAAAGCAGGCAAGGGTCAAAGATCAGGGGTTGGGTATGATGTTAATGCCCTGGAAGCAGGAGTTGTGTTGAGGGGTGGGTCAGGGGTCAGAAGTTGAGGTCAGGTATGATGTCAATGCCCTGGAAGCAAGGGTCATTCATGCTGCGAGGTGGGGCAAGGACCAGCAGCCAGATATGTTGCTAATGCCCTGGAAGCAGGGGTTGTGCTAAAGGGTAAGGCAAGGGGCAGGGGCAGAGATCAGGTATGATGTTGATGCCCTGGAAGCAGGAGTCCTGCTGCAGGGTCGGTCGGGGTCAGATGTCAACACCCCAGAAGTGAGGGTCGTGCTGCGGGGTAGATGAGGGGTGGAGGACCAGGTGCTGCAGGGTAGGTCAAGGGTCAGGTACGCACTTGCCATCGGCGGTGTTGATGCCCCGGAAGAGTGGGTAGTCCTTGGGCGCAGGCCGGCCACTCTGGTCCTCGTAGAGGAAGACGGGCGAGCGGCCCAGCTCCAGCCCCAGCTGCTGGGTGCCGCGTGCATCATACACGGACAGCAGGAAGGTCTGACTCCCAGCCGGCGCCCGCACCAGTGCCATGATGGAGAAGTCCTCTGGGAACCGACCTGGGGGTGGGGGGGCCCAGCTCAGTGGGGGCTGGGGGCAGGGCCAGCCCACTAGGGACATGGGGGGGGGGCAGGAGGGACAAAAATTTCCACTGGGGATGGGGGAGGCATCCCACTAGGGACATCAAGGGGACAGGATATTCCACTGGGAACACTGGAGAGGGATTCCACTAGGAACACGGGGGTGGGGGTCAAGATATGGGGGAAGATGGGACATCCCACTGGGGACACAAAGTGGGGAAATATTCCACTGAGAACACAGGGGGAAGATATGCCAAAGGGGACACGGGGGCAGGGAGGGGGACAATTGTACTGGGGACGTTGTGGGGGGGGCAGGAAATTGCGCGGGAGACGTGGGGGACATTCCATTAGGAACATGGGGGGACATTCCCAGGGGGGTGGGAACACAGTGGGGGGAAGTGGGATGGTCCACTGGAGACATGGGAGGAGGAGTGGGTTGTTCCACTGGGGACCTCTCATGGGTTGAGGGTGGAGGGGGGTATCCCACTGGGGACACGCAGGGCTGGGACAGCACTGGGGTGACAGCAGGGAGGGGAGTGGGATGTCCGACGTGGCGGGGCTGGGGGGGGCAGCGTAGGAGCGTCCCACAGGAACACGGGCCAGGCCACAGGGCCCAGGGGTACCTGAGAAGAGCTGGCGGGTGGGGGCGCTGAGCTGGGCCTGCCGCGAGATGCGATAAGCCTGGTCGGGCCCCGGGGCCCCACGCCGCTGCGGGCAGAAGCCAGCCGTCCTCTTCACGCCCGCCGGCAGCGCCTGCAGCTCCAGCACCTTCAGCACGTCCACCGGCTCCCCTGGAGGGACAAAGTGGGGTGGGGGATGAGAGCCAGGCACGGGGCCCCCATAGACTCCCCCACCCCAACACCAATGGGGATTCGGCCTATCCATCCCCGCCCCCAGCACAGGACTTGGGGAAGTCATTGCAAGGAGCAGGGGGCTGGGGAAATTTGAAGGCCATGGAGGGAATTTGGAGGGCCCTGGAGGAACCTGGGGGCCATGGGGGGAATTTTGGGGGGGATCCTAGAGGAACCTGGGGGAATCTGGAGGCATTCTAAGGGGCTGAGGAGGAATCTGGGGGAGAAATCCAAGGGGTCCTCAAGGAATCTGGGAGACCTGGGGTATTTGGGGGAACCTGGAGGGGAATCCATCGGGCCGGATGGGAATCTGAGCAGTTCGGGGGGGGGGGGGGGCGGGGGGGGGTGGGGGGGGGGGGCATCGAGGGGGCCTGTTGGTATCGGGGGGGGTTGAAGAGGAGTCTCAGGCCCTGGGGGAAAATCTGGGAACTCCTGGGGGGGAATCCAGGGAGTCCTGGGGGATCTGGGGGAGAGTCTGCAGGCTCTGGGTGGAATCTGGGGGCCATGGGGGTCATCTGGGGTCCTGGGGGATCTGGGGAGCCCTGGGGGGGATCTGGGGAACCCTAAGGGAAAGTGAGGGGAGATCGGGGGGGCCCGGCAAGAGGAAATGGGGTGCCCAGGCCAGGGAGGAGCAGGGGCCGCCCCAGGTGCCGCAGGCAGGCTATCCCAAATTCCAATCTCCCCTCCTGGGAGGCAGCAGAAAAAAGGGCCTTTCTCCTGAGCCATCAACAGGGTCTTTGTTCCCCCGCGGGCAGCGGCAGGGACCGGCACACGCTTCGCACACGCACGCACACACACACACACACCTCTCTCGCACACGGGCAAAGGAGGGGGGAAAGCCACGCACACGCCTGCCTCACACTTCTCATGGCAACCAGCCGGACTCACACAGGCCTTGCACGCGTGTACACACTATCACAGGCGGCTGGTGCACCCTCTACTCCACAGCTCCCCCCACCTGGCACACATGTGTTCCCCCTCCCCTCCCGCTTTCCATGTGCTTGGCATGTTCCAACCAGCTCCAGGCACAAACACATCTGCAGAAGCCATCAGGTTCAGGCAGGGGCTGGACGCCGGCCTAGGTTCCCCCTTGCTCACAGCCAGGCTGGTGGGGAGGGGGGGCTGGAGAGACAGAGGGAAGGAGATGAGGGGCCAAGAACTGGGCACAGGTCGGGGTTCATGTGCAACAGCCACATGCATGTACAAATGCACATGCACATGCATGCATGTACCACCCTGCAGCAAGGGGGACAATTGAGAGGGACCTCCCCCAAGTTGATACCTGTGGCCTTGGGGTCAGAGGGTCATGGGCTGAGGAGAGAGGGAGGGGCTGCTGGTGCTGCCAATGCATCTGCCTGCACCTCCGCC